AGAAAACCACAAAGGTCAGAGAGCACCAAGGACCCTATAATCCCTCTCCTCCTGCTCCTCCTGCTCCTCCTCCTCCTCCTTTTTCTCTTCTTTTCCTCCTCCTCCTCCTCCTCCTCCTCCTCCTCCTCCTCCTCCCTCTGATGATGTTACCTAGTTTGGGTCATGAAACGTCTGCAAGAAAACCACCAGCTCAGAGAGCTCCAAGGAAACCTATCTATCTTCTCTCCCTCTCTCTCGCCCTCCTGACAGGTTGGAGATGGCGGTTTGGGGAGATCCCAGCTCCCCCTATTTCCTTGGCTGATTCCTCAAAGACACCCCCAAGTAGAGATGGCTGCGGTCCTAGCATCCTTGGGGCACCCCAGATAGGGAAAAGCGTTATCAAGGGCGGATGTCAAGGAGCGAGTCTCGGTGGGAACCCTCTTCCTCCTACCGAGAGATCAACAGAGATCGATCGATAGATCACCAGATCGGCGTGATCCGCTACCTCACCTCCATCAAGGCATCTGGGAGACGTTGCAGCAGCCGTTTCCCCCATCCGCTGACGATGACCATGGCATCTGGGGGAAGGCAAAGAGACAGATAGTGTAGGTTCTCCTGCTTGAGCGGGGGGCTGGACTAGAGGACCTCCAAGGTCCCTTCCAGTTCTATTCTATTCTATTCTATTCTATTCTATTCTATTCTATTCTATTCTACTCTATTAATTCTTATTCTATTCTATTCTATTCATTCTTATTCTATTCTTTTTCTATTCTATTCTATTCTATTCTATTCTATTCTATTAATTCTTATTCTATTCTATTCTACTCTATTAATTCTTATTCTATTCTATTCTATTCATTCTTTTTCTATTCTATTCTATTCTATTCTATTCTATTCTATTCTATTCTATTAATTCTTATTCTATTCTATTCATTCTTATTCTATTCTTTTTCTATTCTATTCTATTCTATTCTATTCTATTCTATTCTATTCTATTCTATTCTATTCTATTCTATTCTTTTTCTATTCTATTCTATTCTACTCTATTCTATATTCAAAGCAACCTGGAATTAAGGAGAAACTTCCTGACAGTCAGCACAATCAACCAGTGGAACAGCTTGCCACTTGAAATCATGGGCGCTCCATTACTGGAGATTTTTAAGAAGAGGCTGGATAGTCACCTATCTGAGATGGTATAGGTTCTGCTGTTTGAGCAGGGGGCTGGACTAGAAGACCTCCCAGGTCCCTTCCAGCCCTATTCTATTCTAAACTAGATGGAACAGCCAAGACTGGTCTCTCACTGCCCGTGAGAAATATTCTTATTTCTGTTCTGTTCTACGTACGGCCACCATTGAGCCCCAAATTTACATGGCTAAGCGAGTCAGTTCAGTGAGCGTGGCCGGCTTTACGACCTTGACTTGCCACAATTGTCAACGCTGCAGCTGTTAAGTGAGTAACACGGCTGTCAGCCACCAAGAACACCCAGGACCCCACATGACAGGTGTACCTGGAACTGCGCTCACAAGTTTGCAAGAAACCTGAGAGGCCGTTTCCAAAATATTCCCCAGATGTGACTGCTTTAAGAGGCATGGACTTCAACTCCCAGAATTCCCCAGCCAGCTGGTCTACCCCATCCCCCACCTGTCTGGTGCGATCCATCCGGGAAGCAAATGGGCATGACGTAGTTGTTCAGGGTGGCTTCTTCGGAGAGTTTGACCACGGCGATGTCATACTCAAACGTGGCCGCCTTGTAGGACGGGTGGATGTGGATGGTCTGAGGGTGGAGAATTTGCTCCGTGTCGTCCCGCCTCTGAGTTCTGTGCTTCCCTGTCGGGAGAGGAAGGAGGAGAAGGAGGGAGAAGAAGAACAGAAAGATAGAATTGGAAGGGACCTTGGAGGTCTTCTAGTCCAACCCACTGCTCAGGCAGGAGACCCTATAGCAGAGGGGGCCAGGTTGTTCACCAAAACACCAGCGGGAAGGAGGAGAAACAATGGTTGGAAGCTGATCAAAGAGAGAAGCAACCTGGAATTAAGGAGAAACTTCCTGACAGTGAGGACAATTAACCAGTGGAACAGCTTGCCACTGGAAATCGTGGGCGCTCCATCACTGGAGATTTTTAAGAAGAGGCTAGAGTAGACAGTCACCTGTCTGAGATGGTATAGGTTCCCCTGCTTGAGCAGGGGGCTGGACTAGAAGACCTCCAAGGTCCCTTCCAGCTTCTATTCTATTCTATTCTATTCTATTCTATTCTATTCTATTCTATTCTATTCTATTCTGTTCTGTTCTGTTCTGTTCTGTTCTAAATGGCTGTCCAGTCTCTTCTTAAAAACCTCCATCCACAACTTCTAGAATTGGGATATGTCTAATTTAATGAAGAGAACGACTAGGGGGGGACATGATAGCAGCCTTCCAACATTTGAGGGGCTGCCACAGAGAAGAGGAGGGGGTCCACCTATTCTCCAAAGACCCTGAAGGCCGGACAAGAAGCCACGGATGGAAACTAATCAAGGAGAGAGGCAATGTGGAACTAAGGAGAATAATTAACCAGTGGAACAACCTGCCCCCAGAAGTTGTGAATGCTCCCACACTGGAAGTTTTTAAGAAGAGACTGGACAATCATTTGTCTGAAATGGTATATGCCTGAGCAGGGGGTTGGACTAGATGACCTCCAAGATCTCTTCCAACTATATTATTATTATTATTATTATTATTATTATTATTATTATTATTATTATTATTATTATCATCATCATCATCATCATCATCATCATCATCATCATCATCATCATTATTATTATTATTATTATTATTATTATTAGTTCCACTGGTTAATTGTCCTCACTGTTAGGAAATTCCTCCTTAGTTCCAGGTTGCTTCTCTCCTTGATTAGTTTCCATCCGTTGCTTCTTGTCCTGCCTTCAAGCGCTTTGGAGAATAGCTTGACTCCCTCTTCTTTGGGGCAGCCCCTGAGATACTGGAAGACTGCTATCATGTCCCCCCTCGTCCTTCTCTTCGTTAAACTAGACATACCCAATTCCAGCAACCGTTCCTTATATGCTTTAGCCTCCAGTCCCCTGATCCTCTTTGTTGCTCTTCTCTGCACTCTTTCTAGAGTCTCAACATCTTTTTTACATCGTGGTGACCAAAACTGGATGCAATACTCCAAGTGTGGCCTTACCAAGGCCTTGTAAAGTGGTATTAACACTTCAGGTGATCTTGATTCTATCCCTCTGTTGATGCAGCCTAGGTCTACATTGATTTGCCTCCGCTTGATTTTGCTTATTGGAACCCCCCGGGACATGGAGATCACATGACTCCAGGACACTGCAAACATCAGAAATACACGACAGATGCCAAGTGCCTAAATTATGATCACGTGACACTAAGGATGCTGAGATGGTGATAACTGTGAGGACGGGTTATAAGTTACTTCCTTCAGTGCCACTGATCGGTCGCTAAGTGAGTGTTTGTTAGTTGAGGATGACCTATAAAAGCCTTTCTCCCCCATTGGGTGGCAAACTCGGTTTGTTTCGCAGCGATCGCTTACCCAAGATAACGGTGAAGGAAGATGGGCTGATCACGTGCGTATGTCGGAAAACCGGGTTTTCTGGGTCCAATTCCTCATGGAGGCAGTGGGCAGCCGTCACGATCCACCGGTTTCCTAGAAAAGACAAAATACAACATCGGGATCCCCCTTCCGCTTCTCTGGGTGGGTGGCCTTGCCCCCCTGCCGTGAAATGTGGGGTTGCAAATCTGGTTTTCAAACGTCTCGGTGCCGTTTTGTCAGGGTAATGATTTCAAGGCTAACCAGCCGATGTAATGTAATATAAGGTGGATGAGGCAATGATAGGAATGACTCAGCAGGGTCTGTGTCTCTTTAAGAGCAAGCAGGGTCTGTATCCCTTTAAGAGCCTGAGTACAAAAGGGAAGGCTTTTGCTGGAGTGTCTCTCTCTCTCGTCTGTTTCATGCTGCAACTGCTCTGTGTTGGATCCTGCTGTATTACCACATGTGTGTATATTGTTCCTGGTGTGGAATATTGTAGATAGTGTAATATAAACCATCACTTAATATAGACCACTGTTTACTGTATTTACTCCAGGATTACATCAGTGCATGCTCTGACACATTTCTCCTATCCAGATCTCCAGTATGGGTAGTCCTCAGAGTTACGTCCGCAATGGAGCCCAATTTTTCCGTTTGCTAGACATTTGTTAAGTGAGTTTTGCCCCATTTTATGATCTTTCGTAGCACCGTCATTAAGTGAACCACTGCAGATGTCAGCACGGCCATTATGGGAATCTGGATTCCCCGTGGACTTGTCAGAAGGTCGCCAAAGGGGATCATGTGACCCTGGGGGACGCTGCAACTGTCATAAGTACAAACCAGTTGCCAAGCATCTGAATTTTGATCACATGACCGTGGAGATGCTATAAAGGTTGTAAGTGTGAAACATGGTCATAAGTTTTTTTCAGTGTTGTTGTAACTTCGAAAAGTTACTAAACGAACGGATGTCACTTGAGGATCACCTGTGTTCATTTTTGCAAGCACAGCCACCAGATGCTGCTGTGTTCCAGCTACACGTGTGTACCACGGAAGGACGGGGGGCATATCCAAATGCCCCAGGGGGTATCTCTTGCCCAGGTTGTGGGACACCACACAACACAGCTCTCCTGGGTACCGAACCCTTTTGATTCAGGGTGTTGAATTGTAAAAGACCTGAATAGGCTGGTGGGTGCCAGCACTGAAGTCCAATTCACACATGATACCAATGTTCCTCGCTCTGGGCAAGTTGCAGATAGATGGACTTCATTTCCCAGAATTCCCCAGCCAGCATGGTGAGTCAGCTTTTCCCCAAGTCCCCAATATAATCCGAAGGTCTCTTACCTATGAGTGACCCTCCGCAGAAGGGACGTCCGTTCCTTTGGAGCATGGCGATCCATGGGGAAATTCCTCTTTGAGCGTATCGTCCCCGGATGATGCGGGCCAGGGAGCTTCGGGAAAATCTGGGTTTCCCACAGACTGGGGAAGAACAGAAAACCAAGTTTTTAGAGCAGCGTTTCAGATGGGTGGACTTCAACTCCCAGAATTCCCCAGCCAGCACGTTACAGCAGGAAACGGACGAGAGAGAGAGAGACACTCCAGCAAAAGCCTTCCCTTTTATACTCAGGCTCTTAAAGGGATACAGACCCTGCTTGCTCTTAAAGAGACACAGACTCTGCTGAGTCATTCCTATCGTTGCATCTTCCACCTTATATTACATTACATCGGCTGGTTAGCCTTGAAATCCTTACCCTGACAAAACAGCACCGAGATGACTGAAAACCAGATTTGCAACCCCAAATTTCACGACAGGGGGCAAGGCCGCCCATCCAGAGAAGGGGAAGGGGGTTGGCTGGGGAATTCTGGGAGTTGAAGTCCATGGGCCTTTGAGAAAACTCGGATTTGGAAGCAAAGAAAAGGGGGATATGGATTGCAAGGAATAATTTTTATCCAGTTTCAGAATGCCGCCATGTGACAAGATTATGGGATGGCATCTCCGGCAGCCCAACGCAAATAGTCCTCCATTTACGACCCAGATTTTCTGTTGCTGGGCAAGATGGTTGTGAAATAAATCACGCTTGATTTTTCTGGCCTTTCGTGCCACGATTGCTAAGCGAATCATTGCGGTCATTATACAGTCATTAATCATACAGTCATTAAGCGAATCCATCTTCCCCCCATGGACTTTGCATGTCGGAAGCTGGCTGAGAAAGTCAAAAACGGAGATCATGTGATCCCGGGACGCTGCCACCGTCGTAAATACACAGCCATTGCTGACCACACGCATTTTGATCACCTGACTATCGGGAATGCTGCGATGGTCACAAGTGTGAGGACCATTGTAAACCACTGTTTTCATGATGTTGTAACTTTGAATGGTTGCTAAACGAACTAGAAGTCAAGAATTACCTGTAGTATGGATGTAACCACCATGAAATGGTATAGGGTTTCCTGCCTGAGCAGGGGGTTGGACTAGATGACCTCCAAGGTCTCTTCCAACTTTATTATTATTACTATTACTATTACTATTACTATTACTATTACTGTTACTGTTACTGTTACTGTTGCTATTGCTATTACTATTACTACTACTATTATTATTATTGCAATATTACTATTACTACTACTACTACTACTATTATTATTATTATTATTATTATTATTATTATTATCTAATCAAAGAGAGAAGCAACCTAGAACTAAGGAGAAACTTGCTGACAGTTAGAACAATTAACCAGTGGAACTCCTTGCCTCCAGAAACGGTGAATGCTCCAACACTGGAGGTCTTCAAGGAGACACTGGACAGCCATTTGTCCAAAATGGTATAGGGTTTCCTGCTTGAGCAGGAGGGTTGGACTAGATGACCTCCAAGGTCCCTTCCAACATCATCATCATCATTATTACTATTACTATTACTATTACTATTACTATTATTATTATTATTATTATTATTATTATTATTATTATTATTATCTCAGCTGCTATTGTTAGAGGAAATTTGAAAGGATTTAAAGAACTTAGAGTCGATGTCACAAGGATTGTTGTGTAAACAGTTTTATTCATTTTCTCAAAAGTTGTTAATACAGATTAGGGATCCTACAAATCAGAGTATAAAACCCATAATAAAGGGCGTAGTAGCTCTTAAATATGTAAGAAAGTTCAGAGTACCTCCCCTAAACGCATCTTATAATATAATATTTCTTTCAAAGATGGACAGATGTCATTTCTCATTGATGGCTGCTCACCAAAGAGAAAACACAGAACATATAAAAGGATAAATAGAGACAAAGAACTCTGCATTTTATTGAGAAATTGTTTCTGCATCCATCCCGGGTGGGGCTCCAATTTGATAAGGGTGCCGTACAGCCACACCACCTTGGAAGGAATACAGGGATACCAAGCAGGGGAATTTATTATACATAACAAGGTAATCCTCAATTTATGACAGAGCCCACAAAATTCCTATTGCTCAGTAAAACAAACGTTAAGTGAATTTAGTCCCACCTTAAATAAATCACTGCCTGTGTTAGGTTAGTAACACAATTGTGAAGTGAATCGGGCTTCCCCCGTTGACTTGGCTTTGTCAGAAGGTCGTAAAAGGGGATCATGTGACCCCCCTAGGCCGCTACGACCGTCGTAAATATGAGTCAGTCGCCAGGCATCTGAAGTTTGATCATGTGACCACAGGGAGGCTGCAGCCGTCGTATCAAAAGCGGTCCTAAGTTACTTTTTTTCGGTGCCGTCGTAACTTTGAACGGTCACTAAATGAACTGTCGTAAGTCGGGGACTATTTGTAGGTGTGTGTGTGTGTGTGTGTATGTGTGTGTGTGTGTGCAAGTGGTGGGATTCAAATATGTGAACAACTGGTTCTCTACATGGATGCCAGTTCCGGAAGTTCATTCTGGGCCTGGGCAACAAAGAATTAGCTGCCGGTTCTGCCGAAGCGGTGTGAACTGACTGAATTCCACCACTGTGTGTGTGTGTGTGTGTGTGTGTGTGTGTGTGTCAAAAAAAAAGACAAGGTGGCAGTTGTCGCTGTGCATGGAAAGCTCCAAACTGTTGTGATGTCAGATCTCCAGCTTCATTTTTTTGACCCTCTTTCACGAATGCCTCTGAATACGTAGATAGTGCAAAAGGAAAAAAAAAAGATGGATTAAATAATCCATTACGTAGAATTAAAATGGCCATTCAAATAAACTGCTTCAAAGCTAAAGGAGAAATTCAGGTAGTCCTCCATTTACGACCAATATTTCTGTTGCTACGTGAAACAGTGAGCCAGCCGTGGGCTGCAGCTGCCAAAAAAGCCAACACAGTGCTAGGTTGCATTAACAGAGGGAGAGAATCAGAATCCCGTGAAGTCTTAATACCACTTTACAAGGCCTTGGTAAGCCCACACTTGGAATACTGCATCCAGTTTTGGTCACCACGATGTAGAAAAGATGTTGAGACTCTGGAAAGAGTCCAGAGAAGAGCAACAAAGAGGATCAGGGGACTGGAGGCTAAAACATATAAGGAACGGTTGCTGGAATTGGGGATGTCTCATTTAATGAAGAGAAGGACGAGGGGGGACAGGATAGCAGTCTCAGAATATCTCAGGGGCTGCCCCCAAAGAAGAGGGAGTCAAGCTATTCTCCAAAGCACCTGAAGGCAGGACAAGAAGCAACGGATGGAAACTAACCAAGGAGAGAACCAACCTAGAACTAAGGAGAAATTTCCTTGACAGTGGGAACAATTAACCAGTGGAACAGCTTGCCACCAGAAGTTGTGAATGCTCCAACACTGGAAGGTTTTTAAGAAGAGACTGGACAGCCATTTGTCCGAAATAGTATAGGGTTTCCTGCCTGAGCAGGAGGTTGGACTAGATGACCTCCAAGGTCTCTTCCAACTTTATTATTATTATTATTAGTTATGAAGTGAATTGTCTCCCAGTTTATAATCTTTCTTGCCACAGCTGTTAAGTGGATCACGGCAGTTGTTAAATGAATAACACGGTTGTTAAGTGAATTTGGCTCTTCCCCCATTGAATTTGCTTGTCAGCAGGTCGCCAAAGGGGATCCCGTGACCTGGGGATGCTGCGACCGTCATAAATAGGAGTCAGTTGCCAAGCGTCCGAATTTTGATCACGTGACTCTGGGAGGATGCCACAACGGTCGTAAGTGTGAAAAAATAGTCCTAAGTCGCTTTTCCCCCCAATGCTGTTGTAACTCTAAACGGTCGCTAAACGAATTGTCATAAGTTGAGGATTACTTGCATATTGCTCTCTCTTTTTTGTACGGCAACGGAATCTTCTTTAAACGGCTGAGCAAAGTTATCGCTCTTTGCAAGAAAAGAGAAATGGAATTTCTCCATTGGAAGAAATATTTCTGTTTGCCCCAATATTTTCTACAATTCTTTCTTTTTTGGGGGGGGGGATGCAGTAGGGAAGAATGAGAAATGATGCTTAGCTAAAGAAAAAATAATAATTTGGACTCAAAAGACTGATTTGGATAAGCAAGAGGCTGAACGCCACTGGAATGTTGTACACAACACCAACAAAAGCACACAAATGTTTGGAGTGTCTCGCTGAATTTGGGATTTCTGCATTTCTCCAGGGAGGCTCTCCTTCACCTGGAAAAATTTAGATTTGGGGGCACAAATGATTGACAGAGGCTCCAATGTCTTTCGACTTTCAAAGGACCAGATTCCTATTCCAGAAACGGCCACTAGAGGGAGCAAACGTCCCACCAAAAGTGTTTCTCGGCCTCCCGAATTTTTAACTTGGACTTCAACTCTCAGAATTCTCCAGCCAGCGTGGTGAATTCTGGGAATTGAAGTCCACGCATCTTCAAAATTGAAAAACGTTGTCTTAGCGGGCCCAACACAATCTTAAATCCTCCTCCTTTCTACAAAAATGACAACATTCAGCGCATCTTTAAACTGTCCCGCTGCCCACCCCGAAAAAGCTGGGAAGAAAACGGTAAACGATGCCGTGGACTTCATTCAATCAGTGCCAACTACACTTTCTGGAGTTTGCCTGGTAGTAATGTGGGAACGTTGCTTCTTCTCAACGCAATGTCGCAGATGGAGTGTCTGGAATTCTACGCAAAGCTCCTTCAACCGAAGTCGCAGGAGGAGGAAACATCTCCAGATCTTTCTTCCCCCATCCATAATGCCCTCAAAGAACTCGGAACGTGGTTGAGCTGGGTTGACGTTCCTCAAACACAGATTCAGTCCTTGGGATTGGATCTCAGCTTCGTCTTCTAGTTCATCTCTTCTCCAGACTGGAATCCAGGAATGTCCACCCTGTTTTCTCCTGCAGCCAGTCCACATAATTGGACACCTTGGTGTAAACCCCGTAGACTTGCTCGCTGCCACATTCTTCTGGTCCACCCCAGGAGACCAAACCTTGGGCCACCCACCTCCGGTTGTCCGAGTCTCGGATGACAAACGCTGCACCGCTATCTCCTAAGCAGGTGTCCTTCCCTCCTTCGTAATAACCG